GTGCATCGCTTGCATTCGTTAATTTAACGTGTTAGCGCTGTAAGGTATATTGCTATTCAAGAAAATCTACCCCATAGTTGTGAATTTTTTCTTCCATTATGAAACTATTTGAGTTTTAGAAAAATAATATTTTGTAAAGGATTTTTAATAAAACTTTAAGTAGTATAATATTATAATCAATTTTTAAATTTTATATCTGGAAAGCGAATGGTAATGGAAAAATTTCACATACTTGAAAAAGACAAGACAGAGTAGAAAAGAGGTGAGCAAAGTTACGAAGGGTTACAAATCCGGTAAATTTGCTAGTAATAAGTTTAGGCTTAAACATAAGTCATGGTGGAACGTTCTTTCTTTGACGGCGACCTTCGATTGGCGCAATATCGACTACCAACCGAGTCCGAACAGGTGGACGGTGTTCTATTGTTTCACCTTATTACGAGTAATACAAGAAAGAACATAACCTTCCATTTGCTTTTAAAAATACTTTTTTCAACTACTAAAAGCTTAAATGTATGTAATAAGTACTACTCCAACTTCAACTGATTCATTTATATTGATTATTTATTGACATTATAAACAAGTATGTTAATACTATAATCATTTCATACACGAAATCCTTTGAAACCAAAAGCAAGTGTTTGAACTAGGCAGATCTTAGTTTTAATAGGGAGTAAATTTCTAACTCTGTGTAAAGAGCTGAGCGTGGCCGTGACTTATCTACTCATTTGTCCAACGTGAAAGTCATTGAAACAAAGGCAGTAAGTAAACTTGGTGATATCACCAAAGGGAAACTTAGACATGATTCATAGACTAAGTACCGCCATTAAATTACCTCTTGAATAATCTTATTTATAATACAATTATCCTTTAAATTATATAATTCTTTTAAAGAAATAATTCACGAATATTAGTTTATTAAATTGCTTATTCATATAAATTAAAAATGTTGTACAACTGACTTCAATATAAATTATTAAGAACAACTCAAAAATATTGGTCGGAACTTGATCAAATTCACATGAGAAGTGACAGCTTTCAAATAAAAAAAATCATCGAAATCGGTTTACCCTTAAAAAAATTTATGAGGTAAAACACAGAAAATTACCATACTGTCGAATTGAGTACCGTCTCTTTTTGAAGTCGGTAGAATACGGAAAATGGCAAGATTGAAAAAAAACGAGGTGCCAGAAGCTAATAATCCCCATCAAATGAAATGGCCCATAAACTTATTCTAAGTACTGTCTTAATTACGCTGACGGTCTTAAAGATTTTACTTTATATTAGGGTACGCACACATTGCGGTAAACGCGTCGTAAAGTCGTACGTTTACGACTATTTGAAAAGATTTACTGTCTCGCAGGCAGGTTTATTAGAACTTTGCTTAAGAAGAATAGACTGTTTACTTTATGTATAATGCCTTTATTGGTGACAATCTTTTTTTAATTACGTAAGAACATAAAATCGGAGGCATTGCTTATTATATTAAGATTTTTTCGAACAGGCATGATCTGGACAGCTAAAAAGAAGCAGTCTTAGTGCTTCTCTTCGGCTTTAATATTATGATTTGCGTAATATTATATATATATTTTTTTAAAACTGATGTAACAAACGAACATACAATCCCCACTGTACTACAACCATGTGGATACTGCACTTCGAGGGACACAACATGTAAACAATTTTAAAATAAGAACGCTACAATAAGGACCTCCAGACCGAATTTCACGGTAGCCAGTCTCAATGTTACTAGCTATCCTCGGGATTATTGTGCACGAGTGTAAAGCGCTAAAGCAGGCGCTGTCTTATCCCGCACTCGAGTCCAATCGGACGGTAATCTGACACGATCGTAGAAAGATCTGGCGCAGTACCGACGGCTTTATGTGTTTTCTGAGGCACAGAAACCCACCAACTTCCGGGCTGATACTAAGAATTTCTTGACAGAAAAACGCAGTAACTGGTTTTCGCCCACCTGGGATTCGAACCCGTGACCTCATGACCTACAATCGTGGTTACTGCCACAGGACAAACAAGGCAGTGACGAGATTACCTTACCTACCTACCATTGTGGACTATAATACAAACTTAACAGGATATAATCATGGTACTCTTAAAGCTGTGCACTGCTGCTTGGCGGCATAAAAACGTCTGCCCAGATGTCTCATAAAAAAAAAGAGTCACAACATCTAGTATTAAACAAAATATTTCATTGAATACTTACATGACCTTTCGCGCTTTAAAATTTACCCTTCACTAACCTTTGGTGGTGATAACCTCCTTCTTTCAAATATTTCAAAATTATCAACTGGATAGGAGATAGGTATTAGTGGTTCAAGTAAAGGTAAAAAGGTACGGTAAGGCATAGTTAGGCCCGATGTTATACTAATGCAAATAATATTGCTGTATTTTTATGTGATAATGGACCACAGCATCTATTCATCATCCGGTGCACTGTGAGCTTGTTTGTCAACTTTTTATTGAAAAATTTGGTATGTGTATAGCGACAGATATTTTGATTTAATTTATTTTTAGAAAAAGTGTTACATTAATTACATTTTAAATTTTGCCAAACTGTCAGCCAGTTTTTCGGCAACGCAACAGTTTATCGTTTCACACTCCTTAATAACAATATATGTTACTTATAAATACTTAAATTAACACATAAATAATTATAGAAACATTCACTACTAAGGACACAACAACAGGTAATGTTTCCTCAAGATGGTTTTGAGTTGCAACTTAGTTACGCTTTCGTCATAAATATCCGCCACCTCATTACACAAGGTCGGAGTTATCCATTGCCTTGTGCGTCGTCCAAAGTAATTTTCAACCCTAGGTATGAGATATTTCCTCCTTTGTGTAACTCGGCGCTTCGGCATTATATATGTCTTAGGTTTCTTAAATGTTACCATACCATGCTGTTCTAATATGATGATGGATTTTCTTTTCTTGTCTATGGGAAGAATTTTGCAATAACATAATATGGACTATAACAAAGTAAATAGAATCACGTCAACGACTCCAATCGTCTCTGACTGGACTGGTCTGTGTACTTATTAGTATGTATTATAGATATATATAGATCCCTTCCATATTAGGAGGTTATGACGCAATCGCCATGTTTGGGATATTAATTGCCAATTTTATCAGACGACCTGCCAGTCTGACACTACTACCGTCATAACCTTTTCACTGCTGTGCGTTTTAGAATATTGATTGTTTTAAAATCTCAATATTAGTAAATTTCTACTTTATAGCATTAAACGCACTTAGTGAATATGTTTTTTTCTTTCTTTCATATTCATTAATTAGTGATGATTTTGTTATTTGTCAATTTTAGGATATACACTAATATCTGTGTGCCACATTTCTTTTTAGCATACACGCGTATGCTAAAAATAAATGTGTTTAATATGAAATAATTTAATTTATATGCCGTAAAGTCTAGAATCATGTGATTGCAAGACTTTACGGACTCATATTTACCTAAACTTTTCTCAGTATCAAATTAAAATGTAATACTTTACCAAAATTAAACTGCTCTATCGATGTGAGTGGCAGTAGAAAAATATAATTTAAGTTATTGAACAAAAGTAGCTTTACAGATTTTATCGCGTTATTTAACTTTTTCAATTTCTGACGCATTGGGCACTTTACAGCACCCAGGGTCGCGGGAGGGAGTGAGGTGTATCGATTACGTCCTGATGTTACAGTTAACAATCAGTATCCGCGTAAATATAAGAAATCATCATAATTAAACTTAGTCAATTACTAAATTAGTAATTTAATTATTGACGTATGAAGGCGTAAGATATTCAATCACTCCAATTGGTCAAATGGGTGTCGTACGAGCCCACTGAGGGAATAGCCCTAAAATTCTCATAGCTTCCGATACATAATGGTATAATCTCATATCCGCCATATGCGAGACATCTTATCCCGTGGTCGTTTATATACGAGACATTACATCTTAGACCTCAGAGGTGACAACATATCTGCAGCCTCCTTTGTTTGAATCCGGCTGCAAGTATTCATTGACAGCAGCCATCAAATAGACTGTTACTTCGTTTGTCACTTGTTTTATAAAAAAAAAAAGAAAAAAAGTTAATATACTTTCCAAGTCCTTCTTACAATGGAAAAATATTATAGCCTACATAAGAAGTGCGTGGTTTATCAATACTCAAAAATATAACTACCAATATTATTGGAGAGAGCCTGGATTGCTCTCATTGCTTAGCCCCCCCCCCCCTCCTCCTCCGGCTACCACAACTCACGGCTTTATGACGAAATGATTTCATTATTCACGATTTGAGATTTTGACTTTACGTATCCAGTCAGTGTCACACAGACAGTCGCTACAACAATTCAGTTGGCATTCTTTTCCTTAGCGTAGTCTCCACTATGACTACGTTTATTTCACTTGAAAACTGTTGATAAAGATTATTAACTACGAAAAATGTAACAAAAACCTCTATTTGGGACCTAAACTATTAATACGTTTAATGGACCGGCAACAAATGTATTTGCCAATGTTACTGTCAAACGAGGCAATAACGAATAATCATCTCAAATATACTCAAGCCTAAAACATATAAGGGATTGGTTTTGTTTTTAATGATTTGATGTATATACATTATATTAGAATAAACATATTTTCGGAGTTAATTTAAAACTCTGACTCAAACCAACTCAGAATCTTTTTTCAGAATATTTTTTTTTATTTCACACTTAAACATATCATATTATTTTTAATTGAAAAAAAACTAAATTGAATTACACTTTCGAAATAAATATAAACTTGATCGCTAAAACTATTATTTTAAATCCGTCGGCAATCACAGTGTTAATCTACTCTCGCTCAATGAAACAAATGGTATTGTTTCCGATTTGTACCTTTTTTCTACGTAACTCGCGATATAAGCCACCTGTGGCTGAATAAATCATTATTAATTCGTGAAATTCGTAGCAATAGAAGGAACATGTACTGAAATAGAAATAAAAATATGAATTTAAAATCGCTAACATTTGTTGCGAGTTGTGTTTGTTTTCAAATTTGTACGGGAGGTGAGTTGAATTTGTATGTTATTTTCAATTGTGAAGAATATTTTTATTTTCATATTTTGTATTCAAAATTTAGCAATTGTAAACGGAGAGACGCCCTTCAGCTATATTATGACTGTGGTACGAATGTTTTCGCTCTCCCCGGATTTTTTACCGATAACATATCACTTATAGATCACTGAATAACGAAGCATTATGTTTTAGTTATGAGGGTAAATGTTGCCCCATTGTACAAGCCTCCTCTTAGTTATGAGAGGGTTATAAAGCACTATTTTCATCGCGCTGCTTCGATGCGTCCACGAAATATTTTAATTTAATTTAGTCCCGTCGAGGATCGAACCTGGGTTACTCAGGTGCTGTGATATTTACAGCAAGCGTTTAGCCTCTGAGCTACAGAATCTTTTAAGAAAACGCTCTCTGCTAAGGCTAAAAATGTATCTGTATTTCGATTCTTAATTGATGAAAGATATTAGTGGACCACAAAATCCACTTACCATTAGGTGAGCTGCATAGTAGTTTGTTGCTCTCACCTGTATTAAGCCATTATTTTGTAAGCATATTTATTCTTAATGTGAACTTCTTTCAGTTTAGATTATATCTTCAAGTAGTTTCGAATATTGCTCCAAATTACCGTCGAAAGTTGAAAATGGCATCAGGTTTTTATTCTTTAAGCGAGCAGTTTCTTTACAAATTATAAATACAAGTAGGCGTTGAGAGAAAATTCTTAAATGAAATAAGAAAATATCCTTAAGGAAAATAATTTACACACAAATAGTAAAAATATTTTCTTTCCTATAGTCCAAGTCTTCGCACAAATGCAAAGGTACTCGATAGATTCTCACCTTTCTGCACAGTCCCCGCTTGCTAAACGTGGCAACTAGGGGAGACCTATGGTTAGCAGCGAACTTGTGAAGGATCGCAATGATGATGATGATGATATTACTTTTACGTTGCCATGTTGTTATTACGTTATGCGATTATTATTTAACTGTAATTCTTTCAGCACAACACCATGAGTTTCAAACGCAAATGGGTCACTTAAGTGAAATACCAAAACGATTCGAAATAATGGGTGGAAATGCCGAAGCTGATTTCAAAAAATACCTAAATGACATAAGCGACTTGGCGAAAAAGGCAAATGTAACAGTAAAATATAAAGTAAAAGTTGAAGTTACGAAACCAGAAAAAAAGCGCTTTCTACGGAAAGGATGGGCGAATAAAGCGAAGTCCAAGAAATATAACGTTCCTTTGAAGAAGAAGAATATGAAACTATCAGACATTGAAATTATATTAAGAAAACACTTGGACACGATGGCATCGAAAATCCTAAATGACGGACACCACGATCAGGTTACAACGGAGAAACATAACAATATACAACATTTTACAACCAAACAGATGTGGTTTGGAAAATACAAGCCTATAATAAGCCATGTCCGGACAAATTATACAAAAATCATCAAGCCTGTGCGAAATAAAATAATCACATTAACAGTTTAGATTTTAATGTAGTTGTTGAACATTTTTAATTTTCTATTTTTTTACTACTTTATTGTCAAAGTTATTAAATACATGTTTTTTAAATAATTGTGCTTTTATATGGTGTACGTACGATGTTCTTTATTCGAAATAGCACGACTCAGTAGGGCAATGATTAGGTTGCGAATGCTTCTAGCTGCAAGTTCTAATCCTGCAAAAAACAAGTATGGCCCGTTAATAGCTGTTCCGGGTCTGAAAGTTTGTCTGTGAGCAATTTATGTACGTAAAACGCCTCCAAAATACAGAAAAAAACCCTAGTGTTCATAATGTTTTTGTTTTAAATAAAATAAATAAGATTTGCCTACAGTCACATTTCGCAGATGAGAGATTTTTTTTCGGACTTACATAACATTTATTGTTATATTTTGGCCTTTATTATTGTAGTTTCATTAAAATCCATGCAGTAGTTTTTGCGTGAAAGAGTAACAAACATCCATACATCCTCACAAACTTTCACATTTATAATATTATTAGGAAGTAGGATACTAGGATAGCATTGGTCATAAACATCTTATGGCATTGCAGCTTAACGTCTTCTTATCACCAGAAGTTGCATTGCAAAGCCAACGCATTGCTCTCTGACTCTGGCTTTGGTCCGTTTGCTAAGATGACCAATTTCTCTATGGTTGGCGTTTATAGCAAATCTTTCTTAGTTGGGAAACCTCTTGTAAATGAGTGTTGATACAAGCTGTGTCATAATAATCATTTAAAAAGGAATAACTATTAATATCTCGAGGGCATGTGAAGTCCACACGCATGCACTACGCATCGCGCGGCGGACTAATTGTTCTAAAAAATAATTAGAAATTAGGTAATTTATATATATTTTTTAAAACTTCTAGGCAAGTGTTCATAACTGTTCCATATGATGTTTATCATCGCACTGACTTAAAATATATTATATATTGTTACATTTTTTGAAATAGGTTTATCGGTAGTGTTAGAGAATCATATTTTTGATAACAACTGAAAATAATAAAAAAGTGCGGTTCCAACGCGTAGCAACTATAGTAAATATCCATCTATATCAATATCTTTTATTCGTGGTAGAGCCATGCTGCTTTTATATTAGTAGTATAGTTGTAGCACGAATGGGTCGGCTCGACCGGGGAAGGACCACGCTCTCACAGAATACCAGCGTAAAATAGCAGCATAATACTGCTGTGTTTTGTATGGTCAGTGTAGAGAACCGGAGAGCCATTTTACTGGAAAAGAGGCATTCCATCTTAGTCCTCACGGGTGACAACGCATCTGCATTTTGATTTGCAAACGAGGATAGATGTAGATGTCTATGGGCCACAGCAACCACTTACCATCAGGTGGACTGTGTGCTCGTTTGTCAATCTATCCTATAAAAAAATCTATGAGACAATATATGAGGAGGACCATGTTCAGAAGTTCAGAAGTAGAAATTTGATAGGCTGTAATGAATGAATGAATGAATGAATGATAGATTCTCCTACATTGCATCATCACCACAGGTTGTTATATAATATACCATAATATGACTAAAGCTTTGACCTTTTCTTTGCTATAATCACAGCACCCTAAGAACATTAAATGTTGCCCGGGTTCAACTTAGCAGTAGATGCATCAAGCGATAGCCGTCAGCACTTACCTTTCTCACGATGCATGAAATGGTGTTGTAGCTTTTTTCTATCGACATGTACTCGTATATAATTTAGATTTTGTAACAAAATTAAAACATGCAATAATTATATATGAATTTTGTTTAGCATAGTTATAATGACATTTTTTTTTCGTTTTATTTTTTACATGCTATAAAAATACACTCATTTCGACAGAATGATGAATGCAATAAAACTCAGTCAAAAGGTAAGGTATCAATGGCATAAATGTAAATTATCACCTTCTTTGGGAAAATTGCATTTACTACCTCAATATTACGGAACAAATTTAGGTTCCTCATTAATTATGTTATAGCATGTAAATAATCTTTATATTTTAACGTTAATTTATAGTTAGTAATCTGTAAATAAACGAACAATTTTAAAATTTCCGTAATTCTATGTTATCAAAATTTGTTAATAAAATAATATTATACTCTCAAAAAATATTACATATTATAATCACAATATTTGAAGCACATCTTAAACATTTATAAGAAGTTAAGCTTGATATTTTGGATTAAGTGCGTGGTTATCGATGAATAAAATCAGATATCGATAACTATGCACTTAATGGAATCACTAGTGAATAAGGCGCGACGATTCATGAAAGTGTTGATGTTATCGCTGGCGTTTTACGTCGAGTTGAGTATACAGGATGAGACTGACTTGAGCGACAAGAGCATTGTGTTACATCGAACAGTAAATAACAGTACCATACAGTATACTAAATGTGTATTTTTCTATTACGAAAACACTAGGGTTTCTATAACTAATACTTGCAATTGTTGTCACTTGGTGAAACTCCAGCTTCATTTTCAAGATTTGGATAAACACTTTTGAAAGTAGTTCAAATGTTTATCCAAATTATAAAACTGACTAGGGTTTTTTTTTTTAAATCTTGTGGACAATATTGTCCTGGTACAAAGGCTCCTCTGAAGAAGAAGAAAGAAAGAAACTACTTTGGCACAGATCATTGATAAATTAAAAATACATAGGTTTAATAAATTTGACTTTGTTCGTCAAAAGCATTATAAAAAATGCATCACCCAGGACGTATTGTAGTGGAACCACACAGTTTATTTTCAGTAATCACCGGAAATCATAGAGAATATAGCCCCGGGACAAAACGCAATTAGAGACATTGATTTTCACGGAGAGCAAAATAAAATCAAGCTATTTTTTTGCTTGGAACTGTATCCACCAAGCTTTGAATGCGTGGCCATCAGGTATGCAAAGCGCGCAAAGAAGAGAATAATAAATAAAAGTAAATGTAGAAAAATGCTACAACATCACTTTAAGTTGAAAAAAGTTATTAGCGTTTTTTTACTCCTTTAATATTGACGTAATAAAAATTAAAAGCTATTTTGTAACGTCGTAATTGTAAAAAATAAATTTATAGTTTGTATATTATGTTACATAAGAATAACTTTAAAATATTACGGTAGAATTTGACGCCTTACTATGAAGTTCACAAGAAAAGAATTGAAAGTATTCAAAAACGTTATCTTCGGCATATTATTTCTTGATAAAATACCACTAAACAATTCCGCCCTTATCATAATTAACTTAATTTATGTCAGATGAAATCATTGGAGATTCGTAGATTATTGATGGATTGTATGTTATACAATTATTTCGTCAACGTTGTATAGATTGCCCTCAATTACCTAGCCTAATGAATTTCCATATGGGGAGTATGTTTCCATTTATACCAAAATATACTCTTTTTAGATCTAAATAGTTTAGAAGTAATTTGGGGCATTCTACTGTGTAAACCAATTACAGAATTGGGTAACAACTTATTCACATTAAGTCCTCGAGAAATTTAATGTAAAATCTGGTGGTTAGTTAGTATTGAATTCTTTAGAATTTATAATTTTGTTTCGTTCGTTCACTAAATGATTTCTTATATTTTAGCTAAAACTACATATTAAATGAAACTTATTTTACGGATTTTATCGCGTTTCATTTTAACTTTTTTAATTCTAAATGTTTTGGGGTTTTTTCGGCGTCCATGGTCACGTACTCCCGTGACTTAAAAAAATTATCTAAGTAGTAAAAAAGTTCAATTTTTTTTTAATTATTTGTGATAAAATCGGTAAAATTAGCTTTATTCAATAGTTAATAATAATAATAATAAATCTTTATTTCGGATAACAAATGAGATCTATATCACAGATATTAGAAAAATCACAAAATAATAATAATAGTACAGCTAGGCACACACACACACACACACACACACACACACACACACACATACACACACACACCAACGCGCGCGCGCGCGCTCGCAGCCATACATACACACATATACACACAGTTAAGTCAGCCATGCAGGACGTTAATAATTTGCCTTATTATAGGACAGTCATGTTTTTGTGCTTTAACACCCAGGATACTGTTGGAGCTATTCCTTGTTCTGCTTAGTAGCGATGCGGCGTTTTTGCGCATTATCGCGTCAAACCCGTCAGTGCGAGCCTCACAGAACATGCCTGAAGCGCTGCAGTAGCGGGGCAGCCCCAAAAGAACTCTAAATAAATTGTTATATTACACCTTTAATGCTTTATACGCCCTTTGTGTGTAGTTGACCCAAAGGGAGCATGAATAGAAAGACTGGCAGTATGTCTTAAAAAGAGTTATTTTAACGGCATTACTGCATCGTGCAAACCTACGGGCTAACATATTACTCCGGGTCGCTAAAGCCCTACGCTCCCTCTCCATGTCCATTTCATCACGCAAATCCTCGGTCACGTAGTGCCCCAAGTATCTGAATTGTGATATCCTCGATAAAGCAGTGTTGTAAAGTCTGATAGGTGGTATGTACGTGGGACTCTTGTTATTAGCTTTAAACAACACAAACTCACTTTTCTTTATATTATAAATTAGACCGTGTTCATTTGCATAAGCCTCACAGATTCCCAGAAGCTTTCTGAGCGCACTGACCGAGGGACTCACCAACACCATGTCGTCGGCGTAACTTAGGTTGTTGACACACTTTCCATCCACATGGCAACCGACCTTAGTGCTGCTGAGTCTCTCGAGCAGCTCATTTATATACAAGTTAAAAAGTTGAGGTGAACTTATTCCACCTTGTCTCACGCCACATTTCAACTCGTACGGTTCAGAAAGCTTATCTGCCCATTTTAAATGATTTGTTTGATTAGGGTACCAATAGCGGAAGATACCCAGAAGATCATTAGAAAAATTACATTCGGAAAGTTTTTTTACATAAAATATGATACGACTCGACAGGTCTAAGAAGCATCCATAAACCGGGGTTTTGCGATGTGTATAATATCTGACTGTATCTTTTAAATCTAATATTGC